AACCCATAGAATAAAATAAATAGGAGTACAAGTTGATATAAATAAATAAATAGATGGGGGAAAGGGACAACTCTTACTTACAGAATAATTCTAATTAATAAAGGCAAAAGGAATGAGGGGAGTATAAAAGCACTATTTTTTTAGAACACCACATAAAAAATGTTGCAGACAAGATCCATCCACGGGTGCTAAAATTAGTAGGTGAAAATTTGATAGGAAACAATGTATTTGCATAGTCTCAACATATTTTTCCCAAGATATTTGTTAATTACAAAGGGAAAATAGTAAAATTAGAGTGGAGAAACCTGGCAGACACCACTGGGTTAACCAATCAAGGTTAACATCACCATGGTGGCACAAGAATATGAATGTAGTTAATGCCACTGAACTGTATGCTTAAAAATGGGCTAATATTGGCTGTACAGCAGAAACTGACACAGCAGTTTAAAGCAACTATACTCCAATAAAAAAATAAAATAAAAAATAAAAGCAGGCAGACTGGCAAAAAAAATTGGGTTAATATTGGGAATTTCCTCGCAGTCCAGTGGTTAGGACTCTGTGCTTTCACTGCTGAGGGTGCAGGTTCAATCCCCAGTCCAGGAACTAAGATCCCTCAAGCGCACAGCATGGCCAAAAAAGTGGGGGATTAACATGGTAAATTTTATGTTACATGTATTTTGCCACAATTTTTAAAAAAGTAATCTTACATCTATGACTGAGGAAGAAGGGGGCACTGACAGCCCCAAGATATGATATGTCCTATGAAATACTTGGGACAAACTTATACTAAGAAATGATTTGTTGTTTATCTGAGATCTGGATTTGTCTATTTTTATTTGCTAACTCTGGAAACCCTACCCAAGAGGCCACACTTTCCATTTGAACCAGAACTTGCTCTGAATGAACAAAGCTTGCAATAGCGTTCTAAGAAACTCAAAACCCCAAAGAACTCTGGCATGTCCTTTTTCACTTGTATTACTTCCTTGTGTGAGCCAGCTCTTTACACTGAGAATGATATAAAAGGAAAGAAAGATCAGGCAACATAGAATTCCTCTTCCTTTCAGTCCTTCCTTGCTCGTCAGTAAGCCTAAGGTAGAGAATGTGCATGTATCAAGAAGGGAAATAAAAACAGTTGAGTTCATTTTGTGCAGTGTTTCCACTGTTTTCATAAGAGCTAAATAGATATACAAGCTATGAAATTTGAAAAAAAAGGTTTAACATCACCAGGAAATAACATAGACATTATGTGCCCCCTGATATATAGCCCTGGGAAGGGTATATCACTTCTGTAGTACTCTTGTCAAAAATGTGTAACTTCGACCTAATAATAAGAAAACACAAGACAAACTCAGATTGAGGAACATTCTACAAAATAACTGATTAGTACTCTTTAAAAGTGTCAAGGTCATGAAAGACAAGAAAAGACTAAGGGACTTCCACAGATTGGAGGAGGCTAAAAAGACATGAAAACTAAATGCCATGTGGTATCTTGGATTGGATTCTGGAACTAAAAAAGGACATTAGTGGAAAAACTGGTAAAATCTGATGAATAAAGTCTGTAGGTCAGTTAATCATATTGTTCTAATGTTAGTTTTTAGTTTTCATAATTATATCATGGTTATGTTAACATGAGAAGAAAGTGGAAAAAGGGAATATAAGAACTTTGTGCTATTTTTTCAACTTTTCTGTGTCTAAACTTATTTCAGCATAAATGGCTAAATAAAAGTTGAATGATCATGATCAAAAACATCTTAGATGTAGAATTTAGAACTGTTTGTCATATAGTAAGTATATGCTTTATAAGAAACTGTTGAACTGTTTTCCAAGGTAGTTATACCATTTCACACTTCCACCAGGAATTTATGGGAGTTCCAGTTGCTCCGCATCTTCACCAGCACTAGGTAGACCAATATGTATTGTGGTAGTCAGCTTCTAAATGGCCCCAACGATAGCCACTTTCTGTTCACTCCCTTGTGTAATCCCTTCCCCCTGAGTGAGGCTAGATGTATTGATTCACTTCTAACGAGAATACAGCAAAAGTGATGGGATATCACTTCCAATATGAAAAGACTGTGGCTTCTATGTTGGGCACTCTCTCTATCTTGGATAACTTACACTGGCAAAAAAAAATTCCATATTTTGAGCAGCCCTATTGTGAGGCCCATGTGGTGTGGCAGACTGAGGTCCATAGTCCATCAGCCCACAAGGAACTGAGGCCCTCAGTCCAGCAGCCATGTGAATTAGCTTAAAAGTGGATCCTTCAGATGACTGTATCCCAAGGTGACATTCTGACTGCACCCTCTTGAGAGATCTTGAGTCAGAAGCACCCAGCTGTGCCAATCCCAGATTCATTGCCCACAGAAACTGTGATATAATAACTATTTGCTGTTTTAAGCCACTAAATTGTGAATAATTTGTTACTCAGCTATAGATAACTCAAACATATTTAAACCACATCGAGTTATTATCCTTTACCTATGACAATGGCAAAAAAAAAAAGGCTGATGAGTGGGAACACAGTCACTCTCATACCGTGATGTTATAAGTGCAAAATAAAAATAGTACAGATCTGAGGAGGGGCAATATAGGGGTAGGGGATGAAGAGGTACAAACTATTAGGTATAAAATAAGCTACAAGGATGTATTGTACAACACAGGGAATATAGCCAATATTTAATAATAACTATAAATGGAGCATAACCTTTAAAAATGTGAATCACTATATTTAAAATTTTTTTAAAGATAGCATTGTTTGCAAAATATTTTCTCCCAGTCCATAGGTTGTCTTTTCATTTTGTTTATGGTTTCCTTTGATGTGCAAGATCTTATAAGTTTGATTAGGTCCCATTTGTTTATTTTTGTTGATTTCTTTTGCCTTGGGAGACTGACCTAAGAAAATATTGCTACGATTTATGTCAGAGAATGTTTTGCCTATTTTCTCTTCTAGGAGTTTTATGGTGTCATGTCTTATATTTAAGTCTTTAAGCCATTTTGAGTTTATTTTTGTATATGGCGTGAGGGAGCATTCTGACTTCACTGATTTATGTGCAGCTGCCCGGCTTTCCCAACACTACTTGCTGAAGAGACTGTCTTTTCTCCACTGTATATTCTTGTCTCCTTTGTCGAAGACTGACTGTAGGTGTGTGGGTTTATTTCTGGGTTCTCTATTATGTTCCATTGATCCATATGTCCTAGCCACAGCAATGAGGCTGTCTTACATATACACAACTTACCAAAAAGCATATAATATAGGTGCAGCCCCAGTTCTTTTGACTTAGATCTACTCAATAGTCTCTATTACTAAAATTGTCAACGCTTGGCATGGGACCACTCTTGTCAAATGCTGCAAAACATTACAATACCATTTGACAACCCCATAGGGGTTATCTTGACCAAAGACAGATCAGTTGGTGGCCCCTGACAGAACTGTATACAATCTTAGTATAATCATTCCCCTAGTGTTCGTGTTACACTGTTTAAATGTGGGACCTCCAGAGTCCTAAATGCTACTGTGCAGCCACTGTCCTTTCTGATGATGCAACACTAAGGTGCTTTTGAAGGAATGTGAAGAATGGACATTTGTCCAACTACAGATTACGTTCTCCAAACCATCTTTAGATCAATGTAACCCAGACAATGGTGAAGATGTGAATTTTCCAGAATAATATTCTATAGTTGAAGTCACCTGCCCTTGGCCAAAAGGGGTAGTGAAGAGTAAAAACTTCTCTGGGACAGAAAGAGTGAAAATCAGCTCAGAGTGAGAAAGAAAAAGGCAGCACTGCATAACAGGTACAGATAAAGACAATTGCAAGTTAACAGGAAATACTATTTCTCCTAAATTCATACAGCAGCTGTAAAATGCCACAAAGACACATTTCTTCTCTAACTACTACTTTCTTATCAATGATGACCCCCAGATCCACTTTGCTATTCACATCTATTGCTGGAGATTTCCACCCCTTCCCCTCTGCGTCCCTGCCTCACTCACCTCTGCTTACACACATGGCCCATCACATCAGACTGCCATCTGGGCCCCAGGAAGCAGGAGTCCAAGATCAACCTGAAATGGCAGATCTGACTGCCCATCCCCATCCCACTTAAGGGTGAACTTTGATGGGCCTGAAACCCCAGGAATATTCTCTACCAGCAGGAGGATGAAATGTTTCTTTTGTTTTTTAATTTTATTGAAGTATAGTTGATGTACAATGTCATGTTAATTTCTGCTATACAGCAAAGTGATTCAGTTATACATATATACATTCTTTTTCATATTCTTTTCCATTATGGTGTATCACAGGATATTGAATATAGTTCCCTGTGCTATACAGTAAGACCTTGCTGTTTATCCATTCTCAATGTAATAGTTTGCATCTACTAAGCTTGATTCCACCACAGAGATGGCCTCAGTGAAAAACCACAATAGGGTGAGGGCCACAAATATGGTCATCCATACAGTGGGACCTCTCCTTCTGGAGCAAAAGTGCTATTACATGGACTTTGGCTGTATCCATTAAGATCATGGCTTTCAATCTGTCTCTCACCTTGGAAAATGTTGTCACCAGCAGAGGTGTGATTTGGGGGGCAAGTTATTCAACCTCTCTGTGGATTTATGCTTTATATCTCTTGTAAAAAGAATACATACACATGCATGAATGAAGTAATTTAAATCATTTTAAGATATAGAAAGGCATTGGCAGGCTTTAGTACAGGATATTTTCACAGATGTCACTGTGCATACTAAATAAGAAATGTGTTCCAGTCTCAATTATTGTAGATTTACATAATGCAGTCCCAGCTGACCTTAGAATCACTTTATTTGGCAACCTCAAGAAAGCAATGCTTGTGTGCCTTTGGAACTGGCTGGATATCTGTTTCGTCTGACTGATAATTCAATTTACTCACTCTAAAAAAATTAAACTCCACATTGAGCATATCTATACTAAATGTTATGAAATCCTGCATCTAGAATCTGACTTCATTAGAATAGTAATAGAAAATATGCTTTTTAAAAAGTTTTATTTTTTGAAAAGGTAGTACATCCACGTAGTACAATTTTCAAAAGTTCTGAAAGGATATACAGTTGTCTCCCTCCCATTCCTTCCCTCCAGCCACCCACTTCCCCTTCCCTTTCCCAGAGGTAATCAGGGTTCCCAGCTTCTCGTATATCTTTCCAGAGATAGTTTATGCATATACGCTCAATTATGTATTCACCATTCGTTCTCCTTTTTACTTACAAATGGTAGCATATTATCCTCAGTATCCTGCACCTTGCTTTTCTAATAATGTATATTGGAGGTCATCCCACATCACTACACAAATGTTGTCCAAGTTCTCTTTATCCATTTTTTTTTTTTTTTGTCTACCTAAAAGGTTGCTGTGCGAACATTCCATGATTTCAGGAGCCATGTGGAAAGCTTCCAATCTTTTGTTTTCACAAACAGTGCATCACTGAATACCTCTGTGTGTTCATCATTTTGTACATGCATGAGTATATACATTCCTAGAAGTGGAATTGCTGGCTCAAAAGCCATGTACATTTATGGTTTTGATTGCCTTGGAATCATTCCTCATTGAATAAGAGTTTTTCCTGGACTTGTTGTTTGCTGGAAGTTCATGTAAGGGAAGAAATGGGGCCACATTCTAGGCAGATCAGAGATTTTCTAACTGGAATTACTTTTGCATTTGGTAGGTTTTTCAGACTTGACTTTCCAGAGTCAGTAAATAGGGGCAGCTGTTGGGTTCTTCACAAGAACACTCCCTTCTCTTTCCCCAGCCCCTGCCAACTGCTCCTCTCATGAGTATAGACTACTTTCTGCAAATATGGCTTGTCTGAGCAATTCCTTGTTGAGGCCCCTGCCTGTCTCTCCTGAGACTCCAAATGGGTCTAGGAAACGTCCCACCTGCCCATGCTCTCTGTTACCATTGTTATGTATCTATTTGGTCTTGCACTCAGCCTAAAACTTGGCTAACAGTCCTTACCAGTGCTATCTCACATCTGCAGCCTTGACCACTCCTCTCTAGCCTTTGAAATCTCCTTGCACTGGTGCTTGATTTCCTCTGCCTCTGGCAGCCCTCTCATCAGGGTTTCAGCGATCTCCTAATTTTGTCAGATACAGAGATTACACGTCCACTTCTTTTTCTCCTAGTAGTTTTGGGCGAAGACTGAGATGGAAAGAAAAAAAGGCTGACTTTACTCCCCATATTTAAACCAGAAGTCAGAACATACTTTTAAAATGTTTACTTAAACTGACAAAACTTTCCTTCAGTGAAGATAACTGCATTGTTGACTCTCTAATGTGCAATGAGCTTAGACTTCCGGGTATGGCCTTTCCCATGGGCTTTCTTTCCTGTATGTGTTCTCTGATGTACAATAAGATTTGACTTTTGAGTAAAGGCTTTCCCACATTCTGTACACTTATAGGGTTTCTCTCCAGTATGAGTTCTCTGATGTACAGTGAATGTTGATTTTTCTCTGAAAGCTTTGCCACACTCAGTGCACGCATAGGGTTTCTCTCCTGTGTGTGTTCGCTGATGTATTATGAGCTGTGACTTCTGGCTGAAAGCTTTCCAACATACAGGACATTCATAGGGCTTCTCTCCTGTATGGATTCTCTGATGTATAATGAGCTTCGACTTTTCTCTGAAGGCTTTGCCACATTCATTACATTTATAGGGTTTTTCTTCTGTATGCGTTCTTTGATGTATAATGAGATATGACTTCTGGGAAAATGCTTTTTCACATTCATTGCATTCATAGGGCTTCTCTCCTGTATGACCTCTCTGGTGTAGCATGAGATAGGATTTCTGAGAGAATGCTTTCTCACATTCATTACATTCAAAGGGTTTCTCTCCTGAATGAGTTCTTTGATGTACACCAAGGTTTGACTTTTGGGTGAAGGTTTTCCCACACACATCACATTCATAGGGTTTCTCTCCTGTATGAGTTCGCTGATGCACAATGAGGGTTGACTTCTCGTTGAAAGACTTCCCACATTCCGTACATTTATGAGGTTTCTCTCCCGTATGAGTTCTTTGATGTATAATGAGAGTTGACTTATCACTGAAAGTTTTCTTACACTCATTACATTCATGGGGTTTCTTTCCTGTATGAGTACTATGATGTATAATTAGATCAAGCTTCTGTATGAAAGATTCCCCACATTTGGTGCATTCATAAGTTTTTTCTCCTGTGTGGGTTTTCTGATGGACAATGAGGTTTGACTTCTGAGTGAAGGCTTTTCCACATTCATTACATTCATAAGGTTTCTCTCCTGTATGAGTCCTGTAATGTATAATGACAGTTGACTTTTCTCTGAAGGCTTTTCCACATTCTGGACACTCAAAGGGTCTCTCTCCTGTATGAGTTCTCAGGTGTATAATGAGCTGAGATTTTTGGCTAAAGGCTTTTCCACATTCTGTACATCCAAAGGGTTTCTCTCCTGTATGAGTCCTCCAATGCACAATGAGGTGTGACTTCTTGCTGAAGGTTTTCCTACATGCAGTACATTCAAAGGGTTTCTCTCCATTTTTAATTCTCTGATGTAGACTAAGACCTTTCTTTTGCCTGAGGGTCTTCCCACACTCTTTATATCCATAGGGTTTTACTCCAGGAGTTGTTTTCTCATACTCAGTATGGAAGAATAACTTTGCACATTCATTATCATGCTTCTTTCCTGCAGAGCTTCTACTAAATAAGTCTAAATTATCTACCATATTATATCCAAAGGACTCAAATTTATGGGGCCTTTGTATTGAAGCAACAAGGTTTGTATTCAGATGAAGTATGTTTCCGAATTCATTATAGTCAAGGCCACTCTTGGTGGTAATTGTTTTCCTGTCAGGGAATCCAACTTGCATCAGATATTTATCTTGGTCATCCTGATGCTGTCTCTCAAAGTGTTCATCAACCTGGCAGGCTTCTTCTAGAAAGGAGTACAATAAACCGTCTTTATACTTTGACATTATGGAATGGACCTTCTTTAGAAATGCCCTGCCATATGAAAGCTGATACTGATATCTCATTTTATGAGTTCCTGGAGAATCACAGCCATCAAATCCTGTTCTTTTACTAAACTCCCACCTGCTAGCCTTTTTGTTACCAAAAACAATCTTACCCTAACATCTCAGTCTTTCTTACCTCTACTTCTACATCACTCTGGAGATATTATCACCCTTTATTTATCATATGAACTCTTAACTGTTCCTGACTTACATTATTTCCACCTAGACAGAAATACAACACTGTGACTTGTGGACTCAAATCTTACAACAATCCTGAAACCCACATTCTCAGTAAATGAGAGAAATATCTAGAATAATTAGCCTTACAAAAACAAAGAAACCTAAATATCCTTGCCCAATTTGGATTCACCTTTGTATTCATCCAAGTTTGCATTCACGGTTCTTCAACACCACCTTCTGCTTCTGTCTACACTAATTCCACTAAAAACTCCATCTATTATTAACTCCAAACGCTTCCTCGTGTTCCGTCACTCACATAGCCCCGTCCTCCATATTTTGCTATATTCAGAATCTAGATAACTTTCAAGAAGCAGTTCAGTCTTTTCAAAAAAGCTTAATCTGACCTTCCTCAATAACTTTAACTTTCATTAACTTCTAAAGTAGTCAGTTATCTGTACCACTCATTTAGACAGTTAAAATTGCAAGGCCTTGCCTTTAATATACCATACTTCATCAATTATAAGATGCATATTATTCCACATTTTAAAACCTCTGAATCCAGGTTCACCTTACAATCAATGACATGTCATAAATTGCTGGAAAATTTTATTTCTCAGTGGTGTGTCTTAAAACCAATGGTATCCTGGACAGTACTTTTTGCACATACACTGAATTTTTATTTTTTGTAGTTTAATTTTCTTCTCACCTTTTCCTAAAATTTTATATGAAAAATTTCAAACATACAGAAAAGTTGTAAGAAGAGTACAATAACTACTCATATTACCACTTAGATTTAATAACAACATTTGAGAGTAATACTGAATTTTAAAAGGGATCATGCAGCTGTGGCTTCTCTTCCTATGACTTCCTTTCTTTCCATAGTAAAGCACTAGTTCTTAACTGAGAGTGAATATCATAATCATAAGAAAAGCTTTTACAAAATACATTCGATGGGACCCAAGCTCCACCAAGGATCTACTGAATCTGGACCTCCTTAGGTGGTTAAGAAGCAACATAGCACATGTGGCTAGGGTCATAAGTTCTCTAGGCCAGGATCAAATCCTGGATCAGACTTTTACATGTTCTGTGACCTTAGGCATATTAGCTAATCTATTTGCATCTTACTTTCACACCTGGAAAACAGGAATTATAACAGTGCCCACCGAAATGTAATGTTTATGTACAGCACTTCAAATGTTTACTAGAATAACAACTACCACTATTACAATACAGCTACTACTATTATGATTGAGTCATTACATTACTATAAAAAGAAGTAAGGACTATCTCAGTATATTTAACATGTTCTTGAATTAACTGAAAAAAGAAGGTGTATAAAAATAAGCACAGTAGGCTAACATTTTTCTAAGGAGGAAACAAATATATAAGTATATATTTAAAATAATATAGGCTCATACTATAAAAAACAATGGAAGGATAAATCTTTAAATTTTAACAAATGGTTACCTATGGGGGAAGGAAGAGAGAGAGGAGGATGGAGAGGGAAAGAGGCTGGACTTCTTTGAATATACCTTGTTTTCTAGGTTTGATTTTATTTTCTAGGTTTGATTTTGGAACCAAGTTAATATTTTGCAAATATTTTATATACTCATAAAGCAAAATTGAAAATAAAAGGATTCCCTAATAGTAATAAATAGCCCCTCATCTGTATTTCCTAACAACCATGCTAAAAAGTCTTGATTCTCAATGGCACCAACATGGTTACCTCAATTGATTCAACCCACTATACACATTCAGCAATCTCAGAATAATATTAACAATATTACCATCAGATGTAAGATTAATAAATTAAAAACCTTTAAGTCCAGAATTTGATTTGGAAATATACATTTGAATACATGTCTTTCTCTTAAAAATCTTTGTTTACGTAGTTCCTAGCTATGTCAATGAAAAGGCCTAGAAACAATTCCCTAACATCCAAATTGTGGTCACAAAACATTATTTACCACTAAAAAGAACCAAGACTCCTTGGAGAAATGGCTGATTCCAGGACAGAGAAAGGAACTGTATAATATGAGCCTGGAACATCTTGTAACAACAGAAAGCAAGGAAGCTACCAAAGCCTAGGGACCCAACTTGAAGGGGTTTCCACTGGCCAGAGATAGAGCAGTTTGATTTATAATAAGGATAAGGCAATGGATCAAAACATAAAAGTGTTTAAATCCATAAGTCCATAAATGATACTCCAAAAAGACATACTAGGCTTTGAATGATGCTACAAAAACAACTCATTTTGAAAACTGATAAAGAAATGGAAAAATACATGTAACTCATATATAACCAAATACAGTTGACCCTTGAACAATGCAGGGGTTAGGGGCACTGACCTTCTGCACAGTTGAAAATCCAATTGTAACTTATAGTTGGCCCTCCATATAGGTAGTTTCTCCTCCTAGTCTGCGGTCCCACATCCGTGGATTTAACCAACCGCAGATCATCTAGCACTGTACCATTACCATTGAAAAACGCATATAAGTGGACTTGCACAGTTCAAACCTGTGTTGTTCAAGGGTCAACTGTAATAGATGGAGGGCAATCCCTCTTTATTGAAGTATTCCAGCTAATCAACAAAAGGAAAGTTCTTTACAGAAAAATGCCAACTTACAAATGTAGAAGGAATGATAGAAAATGCACCATTTTTCTAACCATCTTAGTAGTAATTGATTCAGGCAAGAATCATCAGTGAACGTTAAAACCACCGGGTAAAAATTTTGGAGGAACAGGATATTCACACAGTTTGGCAGTTCCACAAAATGTTAACACAAACAGCTATCACATGGTCTAACAACTCCACTCCTATGTATGTTCTCAAAAGAAATGAAAATGTACATTTCAAAACTTCTACATGAATGTTCATAGCAGCATTATCTATAATACCCAAAAAGTGGAAATAACCTAAATGTCCATCAACAGATGAATGGATAAACAAAATGTGGAATATCCATACAATGAAATATCATTCCACCATAAAAAGTGATGACACATGCTACAATATGGACAAACCTTGAAAACATGCCAAACGAAAGAAACCAGACATAAAATTCCACATTTTGTATGGTTCCATTTATAAGAAATGTCCAGAATAGGCAAAACTATAGAGATAGAAAGTAGATTAGTGCTTGCCGGGGGATGGGGGTTGGGGAATGGAGAGTGACTGATAAAGGATAGGAGTTTCTTTGGAGGGTGATGATAATGTTCTAGAATTAGATAGTGGTGATGGTTAGACAGTATATTCTGTGAATATAATAAACATCCTGAGTTTTTGAGTTTCACTTCAAAAGAGTGAATTTTATTGTATGTTAATTATATCTTAATAAAGCTGTTGTTAAAGAGAGAATCAAGATGCTTTAGGAGAACAAATCTCATAGGAATGTCTAAACTGGATGGAATCAGGTAACCCAATCTGGAATTAGAGCATTAGTGCCTAGGCCTGTGACTCATTTGGGCCTGGCTTCAGATGAGCAGTGGGAGGTAAGAACAATAGAAGTGGCAGGGCGTGGGGCCAGGGGACTGTCATTTACAAGACAACTTTATACAGGGCAATGGAGCTGTGCAGAAACTTATTGGTGAGCACCAACCTAAGGAGAGTGGTCTGGTGGGTGTAGGATAGGGGAGGGGGTGTCTTAGGTGTTCATGTCCCTGTCCTCCAACAGCCATTCCTGAGATATTCCTGAAAGTCCTTTCACAGGTCCTCACCCCTGACTGACAAGCTGGGACCTCCTGTCCCCATAGCCTGAGTCAATCCCACTTACCTGGAAAGCTCCAAATTGGGATTTTTCCTTCTGGCAGGCATGGCTCTTCTACCTCCAATTTAAGGATGAGATCTGGTTTGGTAACCTGCTGCCCTGCTAATGAGAAATGACAGCAATACCTCCTTGGTCTTCAGAGCCTCTGAGAAAAAGGAAGGTGGAGTTTGGGGCAGTACAAGCGATATATCACTTGACACAATGGTCGTCAAGCCAATTCACCTGAGTTTTGAGTTCACAAACACCTTGTCAGGAAAGCAAAGGGGGAAAAGGAACTCTGATCCATGGAATTTAATGACAAACTCTTCAATCAGTTCAGAGGCCTTGGAAGTTTCCAAACTTGAGAAAGGAAAGGCGTTCTATCGGACAGAATAATCATAAACAGCAAAATTACCTGAGGAAGCCATTCTTACCCACAGAGACCAGGTTGCTGTAGGTCTCCAGCATCACATCTCTGTACAGGTTCCTCTGTGGAGGGTTCAGGTATTGCCACTCCTCCTGGGTGAAATCCACAGCCACATCCTCAAATGTCATGAGTCCCTATAATTGCACATTCTTTTATTCTAATATGCTTACCACTGGGTGATAAGGATGGAATGAATGTAGGGGAACTTCTGACTGGGTTCCCAGTTCATGATGATAATTTAATACAGGATGCCTATCAAGTTAGTGACCTACTGTGCGGGAAAAAAAAAATCACAAGTCATGGTAGAGAAACTATTACATTAAATAACAGAATATTTATGACAATGTGGCATTAGCACAAGGATAGATGGATAGACATATAGTCCAGTAGAACTAAAAAGATAATCCAAATATGTACGGACACCTGAGTTATGATAAAGTTGAAACTGCAAAACAGTGGTGACAGGATGATATTTTCAAGTAAATGTGGATGGGTTATCAGATATCTATATGGGGACAAAAATGACATTTAACCCCCTAACTCTCACTATATACAAAAATCTGCTACAGGTAATTTGTAAATCTAATGTGAAAGGTAACACGATGAAGTGTCTGGAAAATAATATAGGAAAATGTTTTCATAAGCTTGGTGTAGGTAAAACATTCAAAAACAAGACATGAAAAGCACTACTCATAAAGGAAAAGACATACATGTTACAAGATTAAAAATACAGCAGTAAAGGCAACCTATAGATGGGGAGATTATCGGCAGCTTTCATAAGTGATAAAGCGTTCTGATCTGGAACATATAAAATAACCCCTACAAATCAAAAGACACATACAAACAATGCAGAAAAATAGACAAGAGATGTGAATAGATACTTCACTAAAAAGAAAAAATAAACATATGGACATATGTTCTATGAACATAAGAAAATATACCCAACCCTGTTAGCACTCAGGGAAATGAAAATTTAAGCCACATTGAGACACCACTTGGCACCCACCAGAAACATTATAATTATATAACTAAAATGCCGTAAGATGTGGCTTCCCTGGTGGTGCAGTGGTTGAGAGTCCGCCTGCCGATGCAGGGGACATGGGTTCGTGCCCTGGTCCGGGAAGATGCCACATGCCGCGGAGCGGCTGGGCCCGTGAGCCATGGCCGCTGAGCCTGCGCGTCTGGAGCCTGTGCTCCGCAACGGGAGAGGCCACAACAGTGAGAGGCCCGCGCACCGCAAAAATAAATAAATAAATAGATAGATAGATAAATAAAATGCCATAAGATTGTGTTGAAATGGGAACTCGCACACGCTGTTAGTAGGAATGTTAAAAACTGGTATAACTGCTTGGGAAAACAGTTTGGCATTATTTACTAAAGTTAATGATTTGCAAACACTATGACCCAGAAATTCTACTCTTAGGTGCACACTTTAGAGAAAATCATGCACATGTGCTCTAGAAAACAAGTACAAGGATGTTCACAGAAGCACTATTTCTAATACTAAGTTGTAGGAAAAATCCAAATGTCCCTCAAAAATACAGTAGGTAAATTGTGGCACAATCTTTCAAAGGAATACTATGTGGTAATGAAAAGGAATGAACTACAGCTGCATATCCAACATAGATGAATGTCACAATTGTACTAATGAGCAAAAGAATCCAGCCACAAAAGAGCACATACTGCATAATTCTATTTATATACAGTAAGAGAACAGGCAAGCCTAATCCATGATGTCAGAAGTTAGGAGAGTGATTACCTTTGAGGCTGATATTGATTGAAAGAGGGCATGAAGGGGGATTTAGGTCGTGATTTATGTTATAATCTTCACCTTGACCTGGGGGTGGCTCCACAGTGTGTCCACTTTGTGATAATTCATCAAGCTGTACACTTATAAACTGTACTTCATGTATGTTATAATTAAAGGTACTTTATATCTTTATGCTTAAAATTATTTTTGACAAATGCAAAGGCACTTTGATGGAAAATGGGAGTTCCCATTTCAACAAATGGTGTTGGAACAATTGGATATCCAGATGCCAAAAAATAAAAATAAAAAAAGAACTTCAATCCATACCTCCAACATATATAAAAATTAACTCAAAATGGATCACAGACCTACATGTAAAATCTAAACCTATAAAATTTTTAGAAGAAAATATAAGAGAAAATCTTTTTAACCTTAGGTTTACCAAGTATTTCTTTGATGTGACACCAAAATTCAAAAGACACTGTTAAAAGAATAAAAAGCCATGGAACAGGAGAAAATATTTACAAATCATATACCCGACAAAGAAGCTGTATTGAGAATACATAAGAACTAGAACTCTCAAAACTGAAAAAAAAAAAAAAAGCAAAAGAGACATACTTTACCAAAGATATATAAATGGGAAATAAGCACATACAAAGATGCTCAACATCATTAGCCATGAGGAAACTACAAATCAAAACCACAATGAGCTACCACTACATACGTATCAGAATGGGAAAAGAAACTGACAATGCCAAGTGCTGGTGATGTGGAACAACTGGAAGTCTCATTTATCATAGATAGGGATGCAAATGGAACAGCCACTTTGGAACAGTTTTCTGGTTTCTTATGAAGTTAAGCATATACTCCCATAGGACCTGCAATCCCACTCACAGGTATATTTACCCAAGTGGAAAGAAAACTTATGTAAACCCAAAAACCTTTACATGAACATTTATATAGCAGGTATATTTGTAATCACCAAAATATGGAAACAACCCAAATGTTTTTCAACCAGTGAGTGAAAAACAAACTGTAATCTATACAATGTAATACTACTCAACAAGAAAACTGAAAGAACTAATGATACATGCAACAACATGGGTGAACCTCAAATGTATTACCCTAAGTGAAAGAAGCCAGACTCAACAAGCTACACACTGTATTATTCCATTTATATAACATGGGAAAGGCAAAACTATAGAGACCAAAAATATATCAGTGATTACAAGGGGCCAGGGTGCGGCCAGGGGTTGACTACAAAGGGGAAATACAGTTGACCCTTGACAACACAGATTGACAATCTGACAACACAGATTTGAACTACATGGGTCCACTTATATGCAGATTTCTTTCAGTAAATATATTGGAAAAATTTTTGGAGACTTGCAACAATTTGAAAAAACTCACAGATGAATTGCATAGCCTAGAAATATTGAAAATATTAGGAAAAATTTAGGAATGTCATGAAAGCATAAAATATACGTAGATACTATTCTGTCCTTACATAGGCATATGGTGATATTTATATAAAATTAATAATGTGTTAGTTTTCCTACTATTTTATAACTTTGCTTTCAAAGAATTTTATTACTGTACAGTATGCCCTTCTCTCTCATAATTGGAGAAACTGCTTATCAGCCTATCATCACAGGTAAGTGGGTTTTTAAAAAATATAACAATGTTTCCAATACTGTATTATGAATATGACTATAATACTGTATGCCATAAAATTATATAACCATTCATTAGTGTATAGGCTAAGCTACCATGAAGCAATCATATCGACTACACTATGCTACCATAAAGCAATCATATTGCTGCTTCGTTATCAATGTATAAATCGTTATAACTGTAAATAAATATGAATTTATTTTTCATATTATCTTTTCATTGTTGATATCGTGTTAATAATCTGTATAACATCTACAGTATTTTGTATCATATAAGACAATATTAATGTAGGTACTGACAGACGTGATTCATCTTGTAAACAGACGACACAAACTTAAGTATCGACAAATACAGTGCAGTACTGAACATGTATTTTCTCTTCCTTATGATTTTCTTAATGACATTTCCTTATCTCTAGCTTACTTTATTGTAAGAATACAGTATTTAATACATATAACATACAAAATATGTGTTAATAGACTGTTTATGTTATTGGTAAAGCTTTTGGTCAACACTAGGCTATTAGCAGTTAAATTTTGACGGAGTCCAAAGTTATACGTAAATTTTCAACTGTGCAGGGAGCTGGAACAACTAACCCCCGAGTTGTCCAAGGGTCAACTGTATTGGGAGGCGATAGAACTGTTCTACATCTTCATTGTGGCAGTGTCAAAACTTGCAGAGTTTGCCAAAAGATGCAGAACTGTACACTGAAGGCCTATTTTACTGTATACAGATTATACCTTAATTTTTTATTAAAAAAATTAAGGATCGTCCAGGTAATTTAGAATAACTTCACCTGTTAAAGGTGAAGTAGTTAAATCCAAATCTCTTCACATATCCTCCAAACAACTATACAGATCAATATGAAGAACAAATAAAACTACACATAACCTATACCTTCAGTATAATTTATAATAGAAAATAGAGAGTACTATACACATTTCTAATTACCTATAACTGAAAAGCAAATACCAAATTCCAGCTCAGCTGGCTTTCAAATTACTGCCACAAACCTTTCTGGAGTATGAGAAGGGTATGAAGAAAACAGTCAAGAGAACAGAGAGGGGAGCAGAGAACCTAAGAATGAGCTGAAATCAAAGCTTAGAAAGAGAAAATCTACCATAAGTATAAAAACACTGAAAAGTGGGCTAGATCAATCACAGCACCAGCTATAAGAACGGTATATGGGACCCAAGGTGGCAGTCACAAAAAAGCATCACCTCCAAGGGAGCAGATGATAAAAAGGAATGAGGAAGAACCATGTGGAGATTGGGTTGTAAAGGGGAAAAGCTAGAGGGGGAAACTGAAGGTCATGTGAGACAAAAAATGACCTAAACAAACTAAAACAAGTCAGAGCACACACAAGGGGCCCCTCCACAGTGCCAAAAGAAAGTCTCCATTAAGGGAACTGCAGTTTGCCTCACTGGCAAAAGAGGGGGCTCTTGAGCCAAGAATCGTGCAAGTCACCACAACCTCCAACAGTCCTTAAAAAGATGAAAACAGTGTGGATCCATTCAAAGCTTCTTTGAGAACAACAGAAAATAAGAAAATATTTCAGGTGATAAGAAATTCACCCCACAATGGCATTAGCGAAATGACAGGGTGGGCAGCTCCCAGCCCTTAGCTTCTCTCACACTACCACCCCAAAAATGAAAATTAAAAAACAAGCAAAAAAGTGTCAGAACCAACTTTGTCAAAACTCTGGAAAAC